CCTGAATTCTGGTCCCAGTTCTTAGACCAACTAGCTGTGAGACCCAGCATGAGTTTCTTAACCATTTTGAGCTTCAGTTTTTCCATCTGTGCAAAGCTGATGTTCTATATATTTAAAAGGACTAAGGCAGTGCTTGGCACATAGGAGGCATTTGGCAAATTATTTTTAATGTTATTATTACTAGGTTAAGCTCTTGTGGAATGAAAAGGCCAAGAGAATAAAAGACCAGTTAATAGTTGAGTTTCGGTGAATAGGTTTTCATCAATCCAAAGACTGATTCTTCCAGTTGGGTAGTCTCTAAAAGGCAAAACCAAAAAATGGGAGCGTGATGGTTCTTGCACTCCCTCCTTTGTGGGAACCCCCTACACTCCACTGAGGCTGAGCGTCCTTCTACAGCCCAGGAGCCGCCATTTCAGCATCTCATCCAGGCCCATGGTCCGAGTGCTGGCAGTCCCCAACCCTGGATCCTCCCCGGCTCGCCCCCACCCCACCCCACCTATCATAACTTACCTGCTCTCTGTTAAATATCTTTGCATTCATTTGCTCATGTGTGCTAATGTGTAACCCTTTCTCAGAGCCTGAGCACATTTTGAGGTAGATCCCAGAGAATTAATACAAGGTGGTTGTTTCACAGGCAGATGTGTCCGTGGCAATCATAACAGGAGCCAGTAAGCTGAGTGCTTCCTCTGTGTTAAGCACCACGGCCCGTGCTTTAGAAGTATTATCTCACATAAGCCCCACAACTTCTGGTGAGCAGGTCTTATGGCTGTCTCCGTTTCACAGATGAACAGACTGAGGTTTAGAGAGGTAAAGTAACTTGGCCTAGGGCAGTGGTCGGCAAACTCATTAGTCAACAGAGCCAAATATCAACAGTACAACGATTGAAATTTCTTTTGAGAGCCAAATTTTTTAAACTTAAACTATATAGGTAGGTACATTGTTATTAACTTAATTAGGGCACTCCTAAGCTGGCCTTTGCTAAAAACGTCCTCAATCTGATTAAGGTACGTTCACTGAGGTCGACCCCTTCCAACTCTCCCATCCACACTTGTCTTGTATACTTGTTTCGTCTACCTCCTTTCGTTCATCCTCTCTATATGTCCAAACCATCTCAACATACCTTTCTCAATCCTCGACACTACATCTTCTTTCATTCCACAATGTTCCCTAAAATTAACTTAATAAAGTTTACTTAAAGTTTTAAGTCAACTTTGTACTGTTCGTGCGCTCCCACAGGTGGTATTTTGTGGAAGAGCCACACTCAAGGGGCCAAAGAACTGCATGTGGTTCGCGAGCCATGGTTTGCTGACCACTAACCTAGGACAACCAATCCGCTGGGAGGAGGCAGTGTTGGAATTCACGCCCAGGCCTACCTGACCCCAGATCTGCTGCTCCTCATGGTTTTGTGCTGCTGGTGCAGGCAGGTCCTGGGTACTCACGAGTAATTCCAATCTCCCTAAGCTTGATCCTGCCCCCAGGATCCAATTGACATCCTGCTTTCAGTCAAGTTAATCACAATCAAATTAGTTGGGAACCAACGAACAGAGGTATTGGGAAGGTCAGAGAGAGACACGCTGGCCGCTGGCCTCTAGTCTACCCCTAGGCTAGACGCTGCTCCTGGCCTAAAAGACTCTGGGCCTCTGCATGCCCAAGCTGCCTTCTCGTTCCCAGCACCCACCTAAACACCAAATTCCCCAGAATCTATATTTGCAAGGGTCCTAATGAATGGATGGAGGAATAGTTGGAGGGAAAACTATTTATGAATATTTTATTATACTCATTATTTATTATTATTTTTTTAGCTTGATGTGTTTTATTTTTGTTTATGTTTAAATTTTATTTTATTGTTTAAAGTATTACAAAAAGTAGTACATATGTCTCCTTTTTTTCCCCATTGACCTCCCCCCGGCATCCCCTAACCCTGGCACTGCCCGCCCCTCTCTTCCCCCCCCACCCCAAAGTGTCTTGCATCCATTGGTTATGCTTATATGCATGCATACAAGTCCTTTGGTTGATCTCTTACCCACCCCCCCAACAACCCTCCCTTGCCTTCCCACTGTAATTTGACAGTCTGTTCGATGCTTCTTTGACTCTGTATCTATTTTTGTTTTTATATGTTTTTTAAGTTGACTTTTAGAGAGAGGAAGGGAAAGGGACAGAAAGATAGAAACATCAATGCGAGAGAAACACCCATCGACTGCCTCCTGCACAACCCCTACTGGGGATTAGGCCTGCACCCCATTCATGTGCCCTGACTAGAAATTGAACCATCAACCTCTTAGTTCATGGGTCAGCACTCAACTGCTGAGCCACACTGGCTGGTCATGTATTATCTACTAGAGGCCTGTTGCACGAAGAGATTCATGCAATAGGCCTTCCTTTCCCCTGGCTGCTGGCACCGGTTTTCCTCCGGTACCTGGGACCCAGGCCTTCGCTCTGACCAGGGCTCTGGCCAGAGCCGGCCTCGGAGCTGTCAGGCCTCGCTCCACCGCTTGGAGCCTATGTATGCAAATTAACTGCCATCTTTGTTAGGTTAATTTGCATACTCTCCTGATTGGCTGGTTAGCATAGCGAAGGTATGGTCAATTAGCATAGATTATTGAATCAGATTCCAAAGTCTAAATCTAAAAGAAAAAAATCTGTGGAGTTTCTTGTGCAGCAACTCTTCCAAAAATGGAGTAATGAATCTCCCAATAAAGTTGTATAATTCCCAGGAAATATTCTTCTTTGTTTGGTCTGAAAACTGATGTGTACCTGTAGAACAGCATCTTCTCAGTAGCAATCTAAATGTTGCATTCTCATTGAGCGCAACTCACAGTCATCAGGTAGTAAGAGATAATAGCTAACAGTGGTCACAGTAACAGTAATTCATTGTTCACCACTTACTGAGGGCTTTCCATGCACTAGGTGATAGCACAGGTTCTACCTGTTACAGATGGGGGTGGGCACTCTTGTCACCCCTGTTTACAATGAGGAAACTCGGGCACAGAGAGGTTAAGTGGTTTGTTCAGAGCCATAAAGTTAGTAAATGATAAAACTAGGATTAAACCCAGGCAGTCTGGCTTCTAATTTTATTTCCTTGTACTATTAAAACAACCAGTCTTCTTCTATCTGATTATCAACTAAATCATTTTTATATTTTGGCAAAGAAGGCCAATGCTAAAGTGTATTTGGTACTTTGAGCAGCTCACGAAGCCCTATTGCAGAGAGTGAGCGCAGTAGTCTCCCAGGCGGGCTGCCCACGAGGGTGGTGACTTGGAACTAAAGATGAGGGAAATTGTGCCAGCGTTTCTCACCACTCTAATAACTGCATTACCTTGACAATATGCTCCTCGTGGTTACACTGATACAACTTTTTTTCCACAAAAAATATTCTTAGTCTAAACTTTCTTTGGGTACTTTTGAAAGGTCATGACAGAGAGGAAAAGAAAAAAAAAACCCACTGAAATAACAAGTGACCTCCAAATTAAAATACATGGGGATCTTTTCACCTCAAATTCAAACTCAATAGACCAAATATTGACTGAATTGTCTATTTTAGTGCAAAGTTTACAGAAAGTTTTTCTGTCTCTGCTACCTGCTTTCAGCCAAAACTTAAATTTATTGAGAATCCTATGGTGGAAAGTTTTAATTCGAATTTCTCGCTGGTATTCTCTCTGTAAATCGAATCTTGAGTATGAGTTCAGTGGTAGCAGAGCTTATATTTCCAGAGGGTTGGGGCTTACAGTTTACAATGTTAAGTCTTTCACTGAAAGAACCTTGAAAGTGTGATCAACACGATTGTTACCTGGTTTTCAATAATAACAACTGTAAACTTGCCCATTCCTTTGCATTTAATTTTCCATGCTTATCACATGGCTCTGCACCATAGACATGATCTCTTAGAACTTGAGAGAATTTCTGAAGCCAGGAAAAAACCAAGCAAACAACAACAACCAGTCACTCTTCTGTTCCACTAAACCTGACCCAGTGTTCTGCCTGATTCTAATTACCTTCAACAATTTACCCAGGATGCTTCAGTGTAACCACCTGGAAAAATGAGGGTGGAACTTTGATTCTGGGAGGCATATGGAAATTTAATTACTAGGTTTACAAAGTATTTTAAAATCCCCAGATAAAAGTGACCAGAGGACTGGAGAGGAATATCATTATTCGTAGCAGTGGGGTTATATGTGTGTGTGTGTGTGTGTGTGTGTGTGTGTGTGTGTATGGGGTGGCTCTCAGCCCCATCCTCTGCAACCAGCCTCAAGGGGAGATGGAGAAAGAATCATTTATTCACCTTCTGGCTGCAAGAAGTGCAGGCTGCAGCTGTGGCAATTCTAGCACCGAGGAGAAAATACACATAGGAAAAAAGAAGGCCATGTCTCACTTCCAAATTAAAAAAAGACATTTCTACATGTTTCCATAACCCACAGACTGCTGCCATTTGAGGCCAACCCCTCAAAGTTTCCCTCTTTGTCTAGTGTAGTTGCTGAATCTAGGCCACTGTCAGCAATCCTTTTCATTCACCCGGGCCCAGCCCCATGCCTCACAGATGCAGAGGTTCTCTTGAGACATGTGTACTTTGGTATCAAACAATGCAACTCATGTTTGATTTTGGATAACCTTGCACTGTGAATAAAATAACCCTTGAGAAAGAAGCAATAAAAGCGCTGTAAGAAAAATGACTCATGTTTCGAAGCTGTCTAAAGTGATCACTTATCCAAACAAATGGTAATTCTTTCAAGACACAGTGGGCATGCACCATACTTATAAAAGTCTGGGAGAAAAGCCTTGCACATTTTTTTAAAAATTTGTGTTAAAATATATCAAAAGAATGTTTCTGGTAGGCTGTCCCAGACAGGGTATGCTTAAAAATAAAAACAAAAACCACATGCATGCGAAAGCCAAGGTGGATTGGCACAAGGGGAGGGCCTTGCCCAGCATCCGGGCTCATTGGCTTGTTTATGTCCTTGTTTATGTGCCTCTAATTGTTTTCCATTTTCTGCCCCATTCGTTAGAGTGCAAAGATGTGAGCAAAGTGGCTTACTGCCCGCTGGTGTACAAGTTCCAGTTCTGCAATCGAGCATACTTCAGACAGATATGTTGTAAGACCTGCCAAGGACAGTGACCCACGGAAAGCCGGAGAGAGAGCCTTGTCATTTCATCCTGGAAACGTGTCCATCACAGAGAGCCACCCGGAGGAAGAGGATTGATGTCCTTGCAGATGCATTACCCTGTGGAAAACGTAACCACTGGTCAGCCCTAGCTGACAGGATTTCAATATTATTTTAACTTCTGTGAAGTAGGATTTATTGATCCAAAGTGCTGGACACAGTTTTAGGAGGGAATGCCAGATTGGAGAGATCCAAACAACACAGGGAGACTTGCTTACTGTGGAACGTTTGTGTTCTTTCGAGTAAATCCAATAGCCTGTTTACCTCCTTGGACCATTAAGATAATTTTTATTATAGACTTAGCAATGACACTGAATCCATTTGTATTTAAAACTGTTTAAAATGTAGCTGGTATGATTTGGTCAACTATGGAAGTAAAGAAGATTCAGAAATCTTAAATCATAGCTTAAAAAAATATTTACTATACTTTATCTCACTACAACAGCACCACCATTTAAATTCTAAACTGGGCTTTAACCTGTAATTTAAGGAGCAATTATAAATCAAGACTAATGAAAGTTTGTATGATTTTTTTTTCTTTCTTCTACTTAATTTCCTTAGGAATAATCCCCCTGTTCTGAACACTGCTGTGAGCCATATATAAAACTACATTAAACCGAACGACAGTGAAGGACTTAGTTGAAAGCAGTGCCTCAGTTACTGCAGCTGTGCAGCTCTATAAATTCAGTGCTAAAAGACTGTGGCCCGCCTGCCATTGTGCAAGTGAAGCTGAGATTCGCATTAACACTTTAAGAGAAAAACATTTCAATGTCATGCAGAAGCCAGACCTGGGGTATGGTAGAGACCCAAGTACCAGGTCCTGTGCTGCCATCACCCAGGGATGCCTCAGCTCTTAATAGGAGTTACTCCAACTCACTCGTGTTTACAGCCACAGAATGGCTTCTGCCCCACTGGGTGGCTGCACCTACACTAAGCTTACTGAGACGATACCAGGCAAAATAGATAGACTGGCTCAGTAACAACCAGGCAGACCCTTTTGCTGACAGTTACGATGGGTTCCAGATGTCCCTTCTTTGATATGGCAGAAGGGCATTTATTTATATGGGAGCAAGTGTGTGTGTGTGTGTGTGTGTGTGTGTGTGTGTGTGCGCTTTTGAGTGTGTGGGTAGATGAGTGTGCTTGCACGTAAACGTGCTATTTCTCTGAGTTTTAAAGTAGGCAAGGGATAACAACCAAAGAAGAAAAACTCATGAAGACTAGAGATCACAAAGCCTAATTTTAATAGTCACTCAACCAAGTATTTTATATTTTTTATGGTTATTCTGAACAGCAACTAAATGTGAAACCCAGTTTCTTGAGCAGGTCAAATTCTAGAATCAAATCCACCTAATTTAAATTGACTAGCTCGCACATTCCCTATCCACAAGTTTCACATCATGCTCATCAAAACCCATAACAGTGAAATTTAAAAAGAAAGAAAGAAAGAAAAAAGAAAAAGAGGGTACTTGTTTATATGAATATTTTGTACTTGAACACTTGTAGCTTGCAGCAGGTTCCGTTGAATGTGCTCTGTGTCCTACACATGTGTCCACCATGTTACACCGACACCTCACACTCCAGCCAAACGGCTACTCTGTAAAGATACTACTTGCAGTTGAAGAGCATATCCGACTTACATCCATCACTATGCTCTGAGACTCCACGTCAGGTGTATGACCTAGACCATGACTTGATGGGGGTGATTAGGTGCTTTCAGAAAGGAGGAGAAACTCACAGACTCCAAAAACCAACCTAGATTTCAGTTGTGCTGTGAAGAGTCAGCATGGGATGGGGTTCTGCACACTCAGTCGTGCTCATTTGTCTCTCGTCACCTGCTTTCTCAACCCCACAGCTCATGTCCCTGCGCTTTCCAGGGAGAGCTGTTGACAATACTTGAGAGTTGCTGTCAGGGCCCCCTGTCCATGCTGCCTCAGAATACTGCCCAGGTGCCGTCTTAGCCATTCAGCAAAGGGAGGGCCAGGGGCCCCAGCACTGAATTCCCATGGTGCTTTGCAAAGAGCAGTTAACTTGGTGCTAATCTGGTGAAATAAACAAAAGATGAGTGGTTTCTGTGGCATTTTAGGCACAGGTTTGCCATCAAGATCTGCTTTTCTCCAACATAAATATCAGCTCATATGTTTATTTAAACAGATTTCTTACATTATTGATTAAGGGCTATTTTTTTTTTTTTTACCTCACTTGGAAATGAATATTTCGAGGGCCATCCTCCCGGGCACCAGGCACCCCTGACTGGTTGTGGAAGAGGAGGGCAGCCAGTGCCCTCTGGGGTGTGCACAGCACCAGGGGGCTCCCAGGGCCAGCATCAGGTCACCTTCTCAGAAGAAACCAAGCACAGAACGTAATAGGACTAAACATTTCAGATAGGCCCTGAATTTAAATCCGAGTGAGGAAAAATGTCACATTCCACAGCACACCACAATACCGCTGCTGCTCTGTAGTCAACTGCGTGGCTACATACGCTCTTTTCCTAAATAGTAACAGCAGGATCATCAGTGGAGGCTGAGCCCCCATGGCAGGCCCTCCAAAAATAGTGAGCTCTATAGACTACTTAGGAAACCCCAAAGAAGCTGGTACCCCATGGCTGAGAGCAGTATCTGCCACTGGCAGAAAAGCCTACTCAAAACTGAAAGGGAAATATCCCCAACTGATTAAACCCCTTGAAACACATATGACTCCCTGATCAGTTCATTTCATTAGGAATCTTTTATTTGAGTGAATGTCACATAGGTATCCTTAATAATACAGAATGAAATTACCTTTGTATTATTGTGATTAGTTGTTGCTTATTATTTTGTACTCAGTATTAATGTGGTACACTGTTACTTATTTTTTTTTTGCTTTTGTAAATTATATTCTAATTTATTGCCATGTTTCCTAACACTTGTCCTTCATTCATTCTCCTGCTTGTAATGAAAATGAAAAGTCATTGTAACACTTGATGGAGTGAAATTCCACACCAGGCACAGATTTTTTATTAACATAGATAATTTAGTAAAAATAAAAATTCAGCTTGTAAGAATGATTCCAATGGAAGTTGTCTATTTCTTTCTATATAT